CAATTGCACTCAAAGGGATACATGACAATTTACAGTAGGGGAATTCTGTTCGAAGTAATTATATTTCTATCTGATGTAAATCAGCAATTGTATGTTTTTTTAATTTTTTTTTTTGTTCAGATAATTAAACTATAATTAGATTTTAATCGGGCAACTTCTTCCCATTCGGTAATTTTGACCAATGAAAATTGATAATATGGAATTAAATGATGGGAAACATTTATTTCACTTTAATAATTATCATTTATTAATTGTCGCATTTTCGATTTTTGTCCGTTGATTTGCTCACAATTCCTTTGATTGAAATTAAATTAGTGTAAGATTATTCGATCGATATCAAATTAAAATTGAGTTGCTCAATTGAATAAAATTGAAGTACGATTACATGATTGACACTAAAATGAAAGTATAATTCATGCTAATGAAATTTACCCATTCATACGTGTTGCACGAGTTTTCATTTGGAATCCATGCAGTCTTTATTCGTGAACAATTAATGAATTTACAAGAGTTCAATAAACGAACACAAAAAGTTAGATCTGTCAAACTTCATATTCAAAAGAATTATGAATAACAAAGAATTTAAATTTATGAAATTAAAAAAAAAATGTTTTAAGTAGTTAAATGACCGATGAAACTTTGCCGAACATGGTATCAATGAAACTGCTAGAGAGCCAATGTGCTAAAGACTAAAACGTTAGAAGAAATCCCAAATGCACATTAACATGTATATTTAAATAACCAACCCTTTTTTTTTTTTTTTTTTTGCATAAAACTCGATAGAAATTCAATTTATCGAAGTCGAATACATAAAGTAGAAACGAAAAATGTATAAATATGAATTCGATCAAGACAATAGTTTGACTCTTTCTTTTTAAAACGAGAATACTTAGTACGAATGCTAAAGGTTTTTTGGTATTCGTCTTCCAAAATACAACGATCACATCTAGTGCAATAGGAGCACTCCAAATTATACAGATCAACGAACTTACTGATACTTTGAACTTTCTGTATTTGAAACTTGGCTCAAAATTAATACAGAATTTATTTGATGCATTATGTAAGTATAAATGTGCATGGATTATATGTTGTAAATCTACAAATGAAGAAGCCAATCACTGCATCAAAAAAGGGCTTTTGGAGCGGTCAAAAAACGCTACAAAGGTCATTTGTATTTTTTTAGCATGTGTCGCAGGGTCAATGTTGCCGTTGAGGGAAGAGATACGGCAACGTCTATTCAACGTTGCAAAAGATGTTTTTGCAACGTTTTTTAAATGTTGTCTTTAACTTTTTTGCAATGTTTTTTCAACGTTGTCTTTAACTTTTTTTCAACATTTTTTCAACTTTAACGTTGTCGTTACCTTTGTTGCAATGTTCTTCCAGCGTTGCCGTTACTTTTTTTATAGACATTTTATAAAAAGGCCATAAACGTTGTGAAAAAGCCTTTCGCAACGTTTAATAAACGTTACAAAAATAAAAAGTTTCGCAAGGAAAAATAAACGTTGCAAAAGATGACATTAGCAACATTCACTTTAAAAATGTTGTCAAATCTCAATCATTCACTTATTAGAATGTTGCAATAGACCTTTTTGGCAACATTTAATTGATGAATATTGCCTTTTAGATGTTGTAAAAATATTTTTTTGTTGTAGTGAAAATATAATTATTGGAAAGTTGTGTCTCAAAAGACTCTACTCTCTATTGAAATTTGTCTCTATATGAGACCTATTCGAAAATAATAATTCTATAATTTATTTTCTTTTATATAAAAAGACGTATCTTTTCAATTGAACATATTTTAGAATATTTTGTATTATTCTACTAAATTTTTCAACAATATCACGTATTTAAGCGGTTTAAATTTCGGTTAATTTCTCATTCGTCAACACATGATTTTCACTAAAATAATAATATAAAAATAGGAAAAAACCAATTTTCTATACAATATTTCAATACTTTTTTGTCACAGTTTTGCTTCAAATATTCCATTCATAGGTAGGAAATGTCCTCAATAACGATTTTTGGTCAAAAAGCCCATAATGATATTATAGACAACTTTACTCTCTCATTTAAATTGGAAAAAAAATGTATAAAATAATAATAAATAACCAAAACATAAACGATAAACAAAAATATCTTTTCTCTACCTAAAGTTAGGGGTGTTAAATGGGGTGAATGGAGCAAAGAATTCACCCCTTCGGCTCACCATATTTTTAATCGAAATTACTTTTTTACTCAAATTTGATAGTTGATTCGCACTGAACTTGTGAGTGGGCTAGCTCGTGAATCAACTAGTGAGAGCAAACGAGTAGTGCGCTTGAGAAATTTGTTGCTCAGTCCCTCCACTTAACATCCCTCCCTAAACACTATAGTAGTATTTTTTTTTTTTGTCCTATTTCACTTTTTTTCAAAAGGGGTCATGTTTGGTCCATATCCTTATTAACGGGTTAGTTACACCTACAAGCGAAATGGAAACCGAGTTTCATTCATCGCAAATGCAACCACTAAAAGAAATCACTAGAAGGATCCCATGACTACAGTTTGCCCGGAACCTGCTGTCCCCCATTTAACATAGCATTTGAAGGTCCATTTTTACGAAATTTGTATTGCTTCCTAGTGTAATTCCAATAACAAATTAAATAAATCTTATTACTATTAACATTATAATTGGTTTAATAATGTAACAGAAGTCAAAAATAAATAAACGTGATACCATAAATAAAAGAGGGGACTCTCGAAGGATGTGAAAATCATTCTTTCCGTGAAGAATATTTTAGTATTTGTGTTTTGTATTGTTTCAAGTGTTGTACTAATGGAGTTTGGTGGTGGTGAATATTTTGTCAACAGTAGTACGGTGGTTACAATAATTCAATGTTATGGAATTTAGTGTTATATTAAATGGGTTAAATCTACCAATGTTGCCATAACTTTATATTTGATGTCCCTTTAATCACTCAATTTCATTTTATCTCATCACGATTACTCAATTTTATTATTTAGTGTCATCATAATCATTCAATTTGATTTTATTTCATCATAGTCATCCAATTTCATGTAATGTTTCATTATGGCCACCAATTTTTTTCACCATTTTCACACATTTTAAAAGGGGATAAAATGATAATTTGCATTATATATAAAATATTTTTTACAAAACAAAATAAAATAAAAAATTATTTTAAAATAAGGAAATAAAATAAAATCTTATTTAAAAAACAATAAAATAAAATAAAATAACTATTCAAAAACATTAATTAAAAAATAAAATAAAATAAAACTTATTTTGAAGAAATGCTTTCCAAATAAAATAATACTTATTTTATAAAAATGTTACTTAGAAAAATAAAATAAAAAGTTGCTTAATAAATCCCTCAAAAAAATCAAATCAAATAAAATTTTAATTAAAAAACATTTTTAAGTAAAATAAAAACTTGTTTAAAAATACGTTACTCAGAAAAATAAAATAAAATAAAAACTTATTTTAAAAAGTTTATGTGTGTGTGTACACTGCAAAGTTATCACTTTAACCCTTTTGAAATTAATGAAAATGATAAAAGAAGTTGGAAGGTCATGGTGAAATATTATATGAAATTTTGTTGAGCATGATGAAATAAAATCAAGTTGGATGGCCATGGTAACACTAAGGGGGTTGTATTCAATTGAAACTTTTAATATATTTTGGGGATTTCACAAGTTTACCGAAATTAAGCCCTTGTTTGATTCTCATTTTTCTAAAAATTCATTTTTTCAAAACTAATTTTCAACTACACATTTTTCAATAAAATAATATTTCACACAAATTCAAAACTTTTTTTTAACTTTTTACTACACATTTTCCATCAATCTACTATTCAATGTATTTTTCCCCCAAAATGGGGATCAAACAAGGGCTAAATGTAAATTTTTTGAGATTATCTAAAAGTATTGACGTATTCAATTAAAATTTTTATAGACTTTTAAAAAGTCTTCAGAAGTCACGGTGTATTCAATTAAAACTTTTAAAGCCTTTATAAGTTTTGAGGTATACAAATTTTAATAACTTCTAAACACTTTTTATATAAGTCTATGGAATACTAATTTTTAAGTAAAAAGTGCTTCAAAATTTGTCTATCGTGTGTGTGTGTGTGTGTCTTTTCTCAGTATTTCTTTCCTCTTCCTTCAATGCACGTTAGAAGTATGATTAAATTTTATTTTTTCTATTGATTATATTTGTTTCTAATTATCTTTTTCTCTTATTGTTTATATCTGTTTTCTATTAAAAAAATTAAACTAGATTCTTATAACTTTTTTTTTTCCTTTTCATTCATTTTTTCCATGAAAAATTACCTTTTTTATTAAATGATAAAATTTTATATGACAAATTTATAATTAAATTTAAATATATTGATTTTCAAAGGTATATTATATTAATAATAGTGAATATTAAATTTATTTTTTATATTAACTCTCAAAGGTATATAATTTTGATTATTATTAATTTAATTAAGGTCTTAAATTTTTATTCTTTTTAAAATAAATTTCATTTTATGAGGAGTGGAAGAGAAATTGTAGGAATTATCACCTCATATGTGAGAATTTCACATTATTGCTCTAGAACTATGTGAATTCTATTTCAAATGAAAATCTTCAAAAAGTCTTTTGAGTTCTATAAAAGTTTTAAAATGAAGGTTTATAGAAATCTACGAAAGACGCTCACTAATTCTATTCAAATCTATGAAAAATCCAAGAAATTCACAAAAGACATCACTTTTAAAAAAAGTCTATCAAAGTCTTCAAAAATTGTAATTGAATACACCCTCCAAGTATAAAGTTAGGTGCCCATGGTGAAACAATATCAAATTGGATGACCATAGTGACATTAAGTTTAAAGTCGGGTGGCTATTGATAGATTTAATCCAATACTAAATATTTATCGACGTCTCACGAATCATATTTACTGTCATAGTAAAAAATTTTAGTCGTATCATGCCACTAGAACAACAGAATAAAATTCGCCAGTGTTGCTATAAATTAAAAGGTAATTATAAGCTTTTAATATTTATAACAGTCACAGAGGATACAAATGAAAAACTAAAGCGCAGACACTTAACCATGATCCTACAAGTACATGTTCGACACGCTTGTGATTTTAACTTGTTTTTCTTATTTATACCATCTACAATATATACAATCCATCACGCCAAACATGCCATCGATTTTTACATAATAGAGCAGGAATCAGGATCCTTACTGACCAAATGAGGAGCACCATAGACTAGTTCTCGAGGATAGATTGGGTTAATACCCTTATTTTCCATTTCATTGGTTTCTTTGTTATTCAGTTTATTGGTCTGCGTCAGAATTTCTGCATGCCTTCCGGCTCTTTTGTAGATTAATACCATCGGTTTCTGTGCTTCCGTACTTCCCTTTACAGCCACGAGATATTTCTTCATATCTTTCCACTGTTTGCACTCCTGTCATCCATAAATCAACACACAAATAAGCACAGATCTTATGCATATAAAGCAGGAAGATCGTGCACAGATTGAGTCCTGCTAAATAACATGATAAGTTTGTCATTAGCTTCTAAGTGAAGTAAAGTTTCGAACATAAGGATGATCATTTAGTTATAGAAATTTATTGGATTGTCATAGTAAAATTTTATTAAGTAAGTAATGAATTCAAATATCTAAGCTAGCATATTTTAAATAAGATGAAATTAAGTGTTAGTATACAGATAAAAACTTACAGGTATACATTACAAAGGAGGAAGGAGAGGCCAAAGTTCTGCTTGCCTCTCTTCAGATAATCACACTTATTTATACTAAAACAAAAGTACTATTCGGAATTGAAATTTTCATTTTGAAGTCCATAAAAAATTGAGTGTTATTGTGATCACTTACCCGTTGAATAATTTGCATGAATCGATCACCATCTTTTAAGTGGAATTGTAGACTTGCTTTCTTTTCCACCATCTTTTGTCAACTCTTTAATTGCATAATATGATTTTCTTTAGATTAACATCATCAATGACTTTTTAAAGTCTTCAGGAGATGCTTTAACAAATTTCCATTTTAGATTAACTCGCTTTCTTTTCCACCATCTTTTGTAAACTCTTAAATTTGCAAATCTATTTTTCTTTGGAGAAATTAGAATGTCTAGATTGATATTGTTAAAGATATGGAAAATATTGTTGAGAATAATATCTATTATCTTTTTCCTTTTAGTGTAGGATTATTTTCTTTGGTAATTGAATGTGTAACAATCTTTCCTTTCACGTTTTTTCCTTTTACAGTTATTTGTAACCCTATAAATAGGATCTTCTACTTTGTAATACTTAAGAGTTTAATATATGCAATTTATAGTATTTTAACATGGTATCAGAGCGGGTTTAAATTTTGATTAAAACTTGCAAGCTTCTGTTCTCTAGCGGGCGGCCACGTGCCGTTCGTCCGGTCATATTTTTCTTCTTCCTCCCGTCCAGTTTCTCCTTCTTTATTTTGAGTTTTTTTCATTATGCTATTCTTCACCGGTTTTGTTGATTAACCCATCGCCACTCCCCGTATCCCAAACCTAAACATCTCTCCTTTGTTTTTCACTCTTTTTACAGTTTATTCAGAATCGAAAGTTGAGAAACGCACTGAAGAATTTCTACTACACCTAAAACAACACTACCATGCAATCATTTGGACAATTTTCCATCAATTTCTCAGCCCTAAACCCTCTTTATAAGGATTTAAGCACGAAACTCAGAATATTGAAGTTAAAATTTTCACAACCCACAGATTATTATTCTCTTTCGAGAACAAAGGTTGAATCTTTGCCCAAGGAAAGGTTAAAGATAGAAGTGTCATCTTTTAGAGTGAGTAGGGGTAAAAATGGGATTTTATCGAGGACGGGAAGGGCTATTGTGGTGAGATTCAATAAAGGCTTATTCTGTGGTGGTAGTGGCGGCGTCGGTGGTGGTAGGAAGGTTAACAGTGAAACTGCAAGAATTTTGGGGAATCTTGCTCTGGCAATTCTGTTGACTTATCTCTCTATGACCGGGGAATTGGGTTGACTTCTTGATGCTATTGTGTCCATTTGGATTCTCGCAGTGCTTATACCAACTGTGGATCAATTTATTATTGGGCTGGTCTAATGATATTTTTGGGCGTTCATTTGTTAGTTCCTACTGGGTTGCTGACATTTTTTTTTTTTTTTAATTGGGCTGTCTTTTGTTTGTTGTTGGCTGATTTCTTGGTGAACCTGTGTCGGTAGTTTCTTGGCAGATTAATTGGGTTGTTTTGTTAGTTTGGGCTATTTTTTGGACAGCAATCTAGTTCCTTTGTGGAGTGATTAATATGGGCTGTAGATTGCCAACACTTTATTTTGGTAGTGTTGGATTAGTCTTTGTTTGGATTTTTTGTTCTGTTGGGCTTCGTTTTATTTGGGTCACTTATGTGGGATTTGGTATTGTTTGGGTTATGGTTATTTGTGAGCAATTGGGCTCTTGGGTTGGCTGTTGATTTAATTGGACACTTAGTGTGGGATTCATTGTTGGGCATTTAATTGTGTTTATCAATTGGACAAATAATTGGGCTATAGATTTGGTAGTGGATTACTAGTGATTTGAGGTGGTTTGCGAGACAACAAAAGATTTGGAAATTTTAGTGGCAAACGTTTTCTTCTCTCTTTTGTTGTTATTTGTCATCTTTTCTGTCGTCTGCTCATTTCTTCTGATTCTTTCTCCTTGGTTGGTTTATCAAGAATTGGTTTTTCTCCTCTATGATATTCTTTTTCGAATTCGTTTGGTGATCATCTGGATTTGATGTTTTGGTCTCTCCCCCCCCCCCTCTCTTCTACTTCGTCTTCTTCTCTACATTTGGTTTGATATATCCCTAGTTCATGGGATTGGACATTTGGTTTGGTGTTGGTCCAGTTATCTGGAATTTGATTTGTTATTTGGTTCAGTGTATCTAGAATTTGGAATTTCGCGTAGTTGGATTTTGGTATTAGTATGTCAAGTTCAATTGGAATTTGGAATTTGAAATTTGCATTCAGTTCAATTGGCATTTCTCCTCTCTCGGTGTCTTCTCTAGCGTTGTCTTCTTCTTGCATCTGGCTATCTTCTTCTACTGCATCTATGCTTCTCTTATTGCTATGGTTCTTCTATTGAAGGCTTCCCCTTCATCTACATCAATTTAGAAGATTTGACTTTATCGATTTATTTTCAAACTCAATATGATTGTCAATAGACCATATTGAGTTTGAGGGAGGGTGTTAAAGATATAGAAAATATTGTTGAGAATAATATCTATTATCTTTTTTCTTTTAGTCTAGGATTATTTCTTTGGTAATTGATTGTGTAATTATTACACAATCTTTCCTTTCACGTTATTTCTTTTTGCAGTTATTTGTAACCCTATGAATAGGGTCTTCTACTTTGCAATACATAAGAGTTTAATATATGCAATTTATAATATTTTAACAGATATGAAGGTCTCGACAAAGAAAATGATATATATCATTGAAAAACTTATGAAGTCCAATACATTTTACGGATCTCCATTCAAAATTTTCCACAGAGTTATGTGCGTCTCCCTTGAATTTCTGCAGTATAGTTACATGAATGATTACTAAAATTTGTCTAGTGTTACTATTTAATAATTGAACTTATAAATGTATCTCAATGGCCACTGAAATTCATCAAGTATTACTACTTAATAACTGAGCTTAAAAATGTATCTCAATGATCACTCAATTATGCATCATGTTACCCATTTATCACTCAAATGAGAAAATCTGTTAAGTTCAACGCACGGCGTCGACTTGAATAATTGATGGATAATGCGGTATATAGTTCAGTGACCATTAATATTCATTTTTTAAGTTCAGTTATTAAGTGGTAATACCTGACATAGTTTAGTTACTATTGAGATATAATTTTAAATTCAATTATTAAGCCCCTCAAATAGTCATCTGTGAAAGAAGAAACCATAAAAAATGAAGGGGAAAAAATAGAGATCTAGAAATCGAATAAAAATATAAATTTTGCTGATGTCCACCCTTCACGATGAAGTACATTTGATTTTGGATCAACTGATATCAGTCCATTATATATTGAACTTCGCATAAAAAGTTTGAAAGGAAGGTGATAGAAACACTAAAAGAAATTGACAGAGAAAAACTAAATAAAAGTAAAAAAAATGTTCAAATTAGTACCAAGGTAACTGAGGTGGATTTGATTTTTCAACATTTTTTCACTTCATTTTCTTTAACTTCTTCTTTCAAAGAGATTGATTTGAAGGGGGAAAAAACTTTACTACTTAATAACTGAACTTAAACATGTATCTCAATAATCACTGAATTTTGTTAAGTGTTACTACTTCAAAATTAAATTTAAAAATTGTGTCTCGATGGTCACTAAATTATGTATTATATTATCCATTCATTACTCAAGTCGAAGTCGTGTGTTGAACTTAACGGATTTTCTCATTTGAGTGATAAATGGGTAACATGGTACATGGTTCAGTGACCATTAAAATACATTTTTAAATTTAGTTATCAAGTAGCAATACTTAACAAAGTTTAGTGACCATTAATATATATTTATAAATTCAATTGTTAAATAGTAACACTTGACAAAGTTCAGTAACCATTCATGTAATTAACTCAATTTCTGCCCTAGTCATCGGTACGTTCGACACAATAAAATTTTGTTGTTCTATCTTGTAACTAAAGTGTGTTACACATCCGTGAATGTGCCGGGATCGCTTCTAAAGCATTTTTACTATTTTTAATCATCTAAAAGTAATTTAAAATGCTATATATAAAGAAAGCCGAGAAGCCTCATTTCAATAGAATTTTAAAACCTTGAAAATGAACTTCCTTACCTCTTTATACATACTTCATGGGCCTGACAACGATT